ATTCCACTTGTTATCGGTCACATGCCTGCACAAGACAATTAATAGATTGTGACTGACAGACGTTAATTGTTCCCAGCGCTACCTGTAGTTGACTCTAGGGGTCATCTCCCTCGTGGCCTTGTCCTAGACCCGGCCACTACCTTTGATATACTATGGAATATAAATCTTTCAGAGTATTACATCGATACACACGTCAGTGTATTACACTGATATACATTTTTAGTGCATATCTACAGCTAAATTAAGTGACAAAGAGACGGCAATTAAATAACAAGTTGCACCCAAACAGTGGGCGTTACGAAACCACAAACATGACACAGCCCACTGTGTGGGCGAAAACTCGCCAATGAAGAATTCCCACATTTGTCTCGATAATCGTATCAGTATATCTCACATCAGATTTGTCTCAACAATCGTATCAGTATATCTCATACTATTATTTATCCAGCTAAATAAACTAGCAGCTTCACCCCGTCCCCACCCCCCAGGCTACAGATGCTGCCGGTGTCCACACAAGCGTAAACATACCAGAATGAAGTAAGCCGCTGCTGCCGCCCTCTCTGAGGAGCCGGACTAAGCACACCACCTTGACCTTGAGGTAAACAAACACTTCTCCCAGGGGGTCTAACCCCAGCTTATATATCATGCTCTACCGGCACCAGCGTCTACACAATCTTAAACTCTCATTCCACATTCACATGAAATGACACAACAAGAGCGCAACGTTACGAGTGCGCAAAGCAAGAGCGTGAGAAGAGAGCGAAAATAACGGCAGAGAAGAGAGGGTGTGAAAAGGCAAAAAGAGAATTCAAGAGTAAGGGGGAGAATGAGTAAAAAACAGGATGAGGCGGGGGCGAGAGTAAGGGTAAGGATGAGAGAAGAGGGAGAATAGGGGGTAAGAGGAAGTGTTACAGCGCATTATTTTGTAACTCTACGCCTTTATTTTTATATTCAGCAAGTCCGGTGTAATTAAATTAGTGGGATCATGCTGCACATTTACCTGGTGTTTAACACTGATTTTGTCCATCTTTCCCTACCTTTACTATCCTTATGCTTGAGGACTTTAAGAAATTCCTATATGTATTATGTTCTTAGACAGGGTGTGCAGAATCCTTTAGCGTTGCATAACTTAACAAAATGATGGGACACTATAAATTGGAGGCAAATGTGTATAAACTAACTTTATTTAGTTAGCCATGTGTAACGCCTGATGGTCGGCCCAGGAAGTGTAATTATTCTTACCAGATCAATCTGTTTTACATAGCTAGTGTTCACAAAGACGCTACAATGTGTGGAGCACTGTTATCATGGGATGTACTCGCCTATTTTGGGTCGCAGGGGTCGAGTTACAGCATGGGATGGGTCATACATCATGAGATGCGAGTGTAGGGAAACAAGCGAGCAGTTATCTACCCACGCAGAAGAAGGAGGGGTCACACTTTTCATTGATAAGTATGATAACTTACAGGTATACTATAGACATACAAACGTATGTTAATGTAGCTAAACGTCTCAGCTTGGCTGTCTAAATAAATGAATTATGTACACAATGTGATATTCATATACCTTACTGTTTTGTATTATAGAATACTGCGAGTATTCCCATCAAGCATTAAGGGAATTGCCAATAAACCCCTGGCTGCCTTCAAGAGAGAGCTGGACAGATACCTAAAGTCAGTGCCGGATCAGCCGGGCTGTGGCTCGTACGCTGGACTGCGTGCGGCCAGCAGTAACAGCCTAGTTGATCAGGCCGTGATCCATCGGGAGGCCTGGTCGTGGACCGGGCCGCGGGGGCGTTGATCCCCGGAATAACCTCCAGGTAACCTCCAGGAGTATATTTGCATCTGGGGAAATCAGCTTTTTTGCGTATGTGGTGTGATGGTACGGTACACTGACTAGGATACCTTTCATGTTAACAACTATATTTTACTCAGAGTAATTGTTAAAAGATTGTAAGTTTTTATTTGTTATGAAAGAGGGAGGGGGAGAGGAAGAAAGAGCATATATACAAAAATACCAGTGAAAATAGAAAAAAAACATCTCTGCATTTTCGTATTCTTACACATATCTTCAGAGGAATTGGAGGGAGAGGCAAGAGAAGCACATTTTATATGTTAAACACTGAGGTGATACCTCACTTAGAGCAGGTAACAAGTCCCTCAATGAGGTGTCACCTAACTCAAAACACACTGTGGGAAGCCTATTTATAATAGTAACGTTTTATGAGGCTTACTGGCCCACAATGTCAGTTTTTAACAGGCCTCCTTCAGAGTATTTTGAGTTAGACAGCACCTCACTAGAACTATGCCATCTTACAATCGTGGGTTCGAATCCTGCTAACCGATCTTACCCTAGGGGTAAGATCGGTCAGCGTGGTGCACTGATATAGTATCACTTGTGTGGTCAGAACATGCAAGAGGAGACTGATATAGATGGAAACCATGCTATAAATGTTTATTTTTTGACCAAACCTAACTTAGAAACCTTGTCCACCCTAATGTAATTTGTTCATCACTGATCAGTTTAAATTAATTTAGTATTAATTCTACTAAGTACACTACAGATCACTTTAAATTAATTTAGTATTACCTAAAGTAAATGATATTTTTTTTTTCATTTTCAGATTGATTTTCGTAGATTTATGGCATAAATTTTTTCACTCTGCTTATTCGGCACAAAACACCCTTGCTTTTTAGATCTAACTCACCGGTTTGGCTTATTCGGCAAAACACACACACACTCGTGTGTGTGTGTGTGTGTGTGTGTGTGTGTGTGTGTGTGTGGTGTGTGGTGTGTGTGTGTGTGTGTGTGTGTGTGTGTGTGTGTAAAACTGTGTAGGTACACACAAGGTGTAACAGGTAATGCAGGTATACGCGGAGTAACTGGTAGCGGAGGCATACACAAGGAATAGCAGGTAGTTTGTGTACAAGGAATAACAAGTTCTGCAGGTACACACGAAGAAATAACATGTATACAAGGCATAGTGTTAAGAAGAAAAAGCGTGTCTGGGCACCTGTAACAAAGGAATGAATGACCTTGTACAAGCTTCCGCTACCCACCGCCTTCTACCATGTGGTGGCTGGAACCTTACTACCAATCTCAACTCTTCTGGTTTAATTAGCCTCGCTTCTTTAAATAGTTGGTGTTTTAGTCTTCATGTGGGATTGCAGAGATTCTAATCATCCTGAGGAATTTTAGGTATATAAAGCCCAGTAGAATTTTAGATATTTAAATCCTCCTGAGAAGCTGCTTGGATTTAAATCCTCCTGAGGAGTTGTGGGGATCTAGAATCTGGGGAATTGTGGATATTTATATCCTCCAGAGAGATGTCTTAAGTCGTCATAAAATAGCACTTTCATATATCTATAATGCCTAAATGCATTCAATAAAGCTGAAATGCGGTTTTCTTATGTTCTGCAATTACTTGTACAGCGGATAACAATCCTAAACAAACAACTAAAACTACGGAGAGCTGATATGATGAACAGTTGTCTAATCAAGGGTAAGTAGGCCTACTGTTGTGGTATTTCAAGCTAATTCCAATCATGGGCTAGTAGGCCTTATTGCTATGTTATTTAAGCTCATAAACCGTACTTCATTTTCGAATAAATGCATTAATTTAATGGTAAAATGTTTAAAAGTTTCTGAAACGCTAGCCTACAGAAGGTAACTTAAGGATAATGGCAGTGGTATGAAGAACCAAGGTATACTGAGGAGTTAAAATATTCAATTTCTCATCATTTAGTTTCCATCAAGTCCGTAATTCAATTGCTCAATAACTTTAGAAATATCTTCAGTCTTTAAGACAAGAATTAGGCTAAACTCTGCGTATATAAACAGAGTTGTAGCATACATTGGGGCGAGAACTTTGGGTAGCGTTAACTATACGTTAGTCAAGTATATGAATGGATGTATTTGGCTGTGAGCTTGACCTACCTAACATGGGCCAATAGACCTGGAGGTTACCTGGAGGTTATTCCGGGGATCAACGCCCCCGCGGCCCGGTCCATGACCAGGCCTCCCGATGGATCAGGGCCTGATCAACTAGGCTGTTACTGCTGGCCGCACGTACTAAAGTGTTCTGTAATTCTTGCTTTTGGGGCGGGAGGGGGTAAACATTCAATAACCTGGCTGGTGCCAAAGCTGATTAATGGCATCCTTTAAAACAAAACGGCTTTTGTTGTTTTGGCTACTGAAATTTTGACTAGGCCCATAAAACCAAAGTAAACAATTTCCACAACCAAGTGTTGCAATTATTATTATTATTATTATTATTATTATTATTATTATTATTATTATTATTATTAAAATGCATATAAATACACTGGTTACAAAAGCGTACTGCTGACAGTAATGAAGAGAAGACACAGGTGCTGAATAGGATTTTACTTAACATTTCTAATGGAGCTTTATCAGGCTGACGTGATAAAAGCTCTAAACACAGCACCCCTCAAGGAAGGTTCCTTGATGTTGGTGAGGGGCTCTTGATTTAGGGAATTGGATCTGTACTCCAGTTTCCCAAATTAAGCCTGAATGCCTTCCACATCCCCCCCCCAGGCGCTGTATAATCCTCTGGGTTTAGCGCTTCCCCCTTGATTATAATAATAATAATCTAAACAGCATAACGGTATCACAATATAAAAAAGTTTGCTTTGCACTTTTGTTTTTCCTTATTCCATACATTGCCGTAGTTGGTGGTTTATGTTTAACATCGATACACATTCACGTTGTTGGAATTCCTGAGAAAGTAATGTGAAAGCTACCAAAGAGAAATTCTCCCGTACACCGATACATTTTTGTATTCCTAAAAAAAAGCACATAAATAAATCAAAGCAAGATGACTACACTCCCCTGAGAGTGAGAATATATCAAGCTGATATACATTAGAAAGCTGGTAACTGTGAAATACAACAAACCTGTTCTATACAACTTATAATTGACGTTACAAGACCCAAATAAATTTCACTAAATTCGACTCAATCCAAACAAATGGGACTTACCTTACAAAAGACGAAGTATATGTATATATAGCAAACGCGCTACGAAATGCTATTTGACAGTGTGTGTGAAAATTATCCAGGCACAAGAAACACCAGTTAGGAATAGGATTAAAGGGAATATATCACAGAGAGCGAGAGCACACACCCTCTACCACCAACGTCTAGCTCAGTACTGACTGCACCCAGACCCAAACGTAAACATTCCTATGGCTGGCCCCGACCACAGTAGTGCTGCTGCTGCTGCTGCTGCTGCTGGGCTGCTGCTGCTGCTGTGCTGCTGCTGTGCTGTGTGCTGCTGCTGCTGCTGCTGCTGCTGCTGTGCTGGCTGCTGCTGCTGCTGCTGTTGCTGCCTGCTGCTGCTGCTGCTGCTGCTGCTGCTGCTGCTGCTGCTGCTGCTGCTGCTGCTGCTGCTGCTGCTGCTGCTGCTGCTGCTGCTGCTGCTGCTGCTGCAGCATTGCTGCTGCAGCTGCTGCTGCTGCTGCTGCTGCTGCTGTTGTCTGACTTTTTTGGGTTATCCTAGGTTCTCTACACATATGCTGCTATGTATGATAATTCTATGTAACTGCATTTGTGTATACCTGAATAAACTTACTTGCCGCCGCCGCCGCCGCCGCCGCTGCAGCACAGCAGCAGCGCAGCAGCAGCAGCAGCGCAGCACAGCAGCAGCAGAAGCAGCCACTACTGTGGGCCCGGGGGCCAGCCATAGGAATGTTTACGTTTGCGTCATCATTCAAGACACTATACTACACTATAAACCTGTCACCATCAGTAGACATTACACCGTTACTAGAATATATCACCATCGATAGATAGTATATATCTGTCACAGTCACCAGAAACTATATAACTGTCACCATCACCAGACTATACTACCCCTGTCACTATCACTACACTATATACCTGTCACCACATCACTGCTCATTATAATACACTTGTCAACATCACTACACACTATACTTTAAACGTCACAATTACTACATAACTACGCCACACTTGTCGTAAGCACTCCACACTATAAACTTATAAGTACACTATATTCCTGCCACTATCACTAGACACTATTCTACACTTGTCACATCACTACTCACTACACTACACTTGTCACCATTACTAGACACTATATACATATCACATCACTAACCCTGTACTACATCTGTCGTCAACGGTGGACAGTATATATGTCTCCATCGCTACACTATATTATACCTGTCATCATCACTGCTCACAATAAACGTGTCATCTTCATTATATACGATATATCTGTCATTACTATACACCACATCTGTCACCATCACTGCAAAATAATTCACCTTACACTATCACCACACCATACTGAACTCAACAAGTGCTGCATCTACTGTGGCTAAACAATTAAAAAAAGTATTATTATTGTTATTATTATTACTTTGATCATTATTATTATTATTATTATTATTATTATTATTATTATTATTATTATTATTACCAATATTAGAATCAATATTATTTTATTATATATATATATATATAATATATATATATATATATATATATATATATATATATATATATATATATTTTATATATATATATATATATATTAATATATATATATATATATATTATATATATATTATTTTTTTTATTTTTTTCACACTGGCCGATTCCCACCAAGGCAGGGTGGCCCGAAAAAGAAAAACTTTCACCATCATTCACTCCATCACTGTCTTGCCAGAAGGGTGCTTTACACTACAGTTTTTAAACTGCAACATTAACACCCCTCCTTCAGAGTGCAGGCACTGTACTTCCCATCTCCAGGACTCAAGTCCGGCCTGCCGGTTTCCCTGAACCCCTTCATAAATGTTACTTTGCTCACACTCCAACAGCACGTCAAGTATTAAAAACCATTTGTCTCCATTCACTCCTATCAAACACGCTCACGCATGCCTGCTGGAAGTCCAAGCCCCTCGCACACAAAACCTCCTTTACCCCCTCCCTCCAACCTTTCCTAGGCCGACCCCTACCCGCCTTCCTTCCACTACAGACTGATACACTCTTGAAGTCACTCTGTTTCGCTCCATTCTCTCTACATGTCCGAACCAAACCCCAACAACCTTCCCCAGCCCTCTGGACAACAGTTTTTGTAATCCCGCACCTCCTCCTAACTTCCAAACTACGAATTCTCTGCATTATATTCACACCACACATGCCCTCAGACATGACATCTCCACTGCCTCCAGCCTTCTCCTCGCTGCAACATTCATCACCTACGCTTCACACCATATAAGAGCGTTGGTAAAACTTACTCTCATACATTCCCCTCTTTGCCTCCAAGGACAAAGTTCTTTGTCTCCACAGACTCCTAGTGCACCACTCAGTCTTTTTCCCTCATCAATTCTATGATTTTACCTCATCTTTCATAGACCCATCCGCTGACACGTCCACTCCCAAATATCTGAATACGTTCACCTCCTCCATACTCTCTCCCTCCAATCTGATATCCAATCTTTCATCACCTAATCTTTTTGTTTTCCTCATAACTTACTCTTTCCTGTATTCACCTTTAATTTCTTCTTTTGCACACCCTACCAAATTCATCCACCAATCTCTGCAACTTCTCTTCAGAATCTCCCAAGAGCACAGTGGCATCAGCAAAGAGCAGCTGTGACAACTCCACTTTGTGTGTGATTCTTTATCTTATATATATATATTATATATATATATATATATATATATATATATATATATATATATATATATATATATATATATATATATATATATATATATATATATTATATATATATATATATGTTAAACCCACTCATTTCCTAGAGAGTTGTAAAGTGTTACTAGAAACGCACATCCAAGATAACACATCGACACAATGCCCAGCCCTTCTAGGGTAGGGTAGGTGCCTGACCCCGAGATTACAGCTCACAAGCCTGCCATTCCCATTAGGCCCCTTGGGGCGGGGATGGCAGACCAGAGAGGCCTAGCTTGTGGCTAGGCCTGGGGACAGTTGGTCCTCCCATGGGAGACTTAGGTCTCAGACACTCCCTAAAAAGGGAGCCAAGGCCGGGCCACCACTTGGAAAAGTCCCAGGCCGGGAGAATACCGGCGAATCTTTAATAATAATAATAATAATAATAATAATAATAATAATAATAATAATAATAATAATAATAATAATAATAATAATAATAATAATAATAATAAATCCAGATAACTTTTTTACTTCAAATGTTCTATTAAATAAGAAATTGAGCTAGGGTTTCTGGTACTATGTTAGTGTTTTATGTTTGACTCCGTATATAAGAAGCTGAAAATGAAAAACGGAAAAAAAAAACAAGCAAAAATTTAACTACAATAGGAATAATCCTATACTTTTATTTTTCTTTGCCCCCGTGAGTGTTATAAAGGTTCAAATTTGGCGGGAAAATCCTGGAGATGTTTGCCAGTACGGGCACTAGCTGAGTAAAAACGTAAATTTGGATTGAGCGCGTTTACAACGCCCTCCAGGTGCGGGGGCCCTGTGACCCCCAACGGGGTTTAGAAAAGTACGGGCCCCCTAGTCGGTCCTTCGTCACGGCTTACAGAATTACTTAAAAAGTCCGTAGGGCTGGAGGTTTATGGGAACTCGAGAAGGAATCTTCACGCGAGTTAACGCGGTTTTCTTTCAATGTGCTCTAGTTTGAAAAGGGGGCGTTTTGCATTGGTCACGTTTTTTTCGAGTAAGTATACGCAGGACGAAAGTTTGGACTACTGAGTAATGACAGATCCGTAAAGGGCAGGAGTCTCCTATGGCGAAGGGAGTCGCCTATTTAGGGGGAAGGGAGTCCCTAGTGAGGGCGAAAAGGGTGTAGTGAGGGCGGGAGGGTCCCCTAGTGAGGAGGAGGAGGATCGCCTAGGAGGAGGAGGGGGGGGAGTCCCCTAGTGAGGAGGAGGGGGGGTCCCCCTGTGAGGACGAAGAGGAGTGCCTTGAGGACGAAGGGCAGTTCCTATAAGAGCGGGATAGCGCCTGAAGGGGCGAAGAGGAGTCCCCTAGTAAGGGCAAAGGGGAGTCCCCCTAGTGAGGGCGACCCCCAAATTTGCCCTGACGGTTTGATTATTTTAATAAATAATGTGAAAAACCCCCTAAATAAAACCCTAGAAAAGGGAAAAAGGGTGAACCTCACTTTCTAGGACATGTGGATTCTGGCAAATCCCAATTGGAGGGTTAAATATTGTACTTAACCCAAAACGTCAGCAGATTTACGCTAGAAAAAATACCGAAGAGAAGCCAAAAAGATCAATCGCGAATCGTGGTTTTTTCATGGGCCCCTTTATACCCTCCCGGGAACGGCTAAAAGGACCCCAATGAATATTGGAAAAGGATTTTTTTAAACTTTGGAAAAAAAAATACACATTCTGACGCCCCGGGAAAATTGTCATTATTCCCCGGATGATCAGGAGTTATTAAAACCGATGTTTCAATTTTGGTATTTTTGCCCCGGTAGGGGGAGTTCGAAGCCGGGTTTTTTGCGAGGGGGACAAAAGGGAAGTTCTAAGGGTAATAAAAAAAGTTGGGATTATGATATTGTTATGTAATCAATAAGATGGTGATAGCACTACATAGTGGAGTCAGGACCGTTCAACTTTTGTAAAAAATGAGGGGTCAGAAGGTGCAAAAAAATTGGGGTTTAAAACTACGTTAACGTAAAGTTTTTCCCATGCCCGGTTTAAACGGGGAGAAGTTAGAAAATGTTAGGGTTGTTAATGGTATGAGGGGCCAAAGCTACTCGAACTCTGGATAATTTTCCTCGATGGGAAGGGTGACAGCGGGCCACTAAGAATTCCCAAAAACAGGTTGTTCCCCAAAGGCCAACGGTTTCGGGAGGGTAGAGCGGCTCGTGTAAGGGTTTGGTGATATTTGATCCTGAATGCCCACAAGAAACGGGAAAGTGGAAAGATTTTGCCACAATCACTTCGAATAACGGAAGTCAAAAAAGGTGACAACGTCACTGTACGACTTAGATGTAAAATTTACGATATAGAACCTGGGTTCGTGCTCTGTGCTTTAAAACCTTGCCCCGACGGCTAAAATATTCGATCCCTGGTTTTTGTACTAGACGAATCCCTGGGGGAATCAAGAGGGGATTTAGCAAAAGTCACTTGAAGCAAAAAAACACAGATGTCCTGTTGACTATAATTTGTTTAAT